GGGAAGGAAGCGGGACCTCACGGAACGGAAAACTGAGCAAAGCCATTCCAGCAAGAACAGTACTGAGTTAAACGTGGAGTTCATCTTAAGATTAAAAAAAAAAAAAAATTTTTCTAGGGCTTAGTGCCATCCTTGTCGTATATTAAACACTAAATAGGCCAGCCAGAGTGGCTCAGGGGACAGAGGGCCAGCCTAGAGGTCCGGTTCAACCCCCTCAGGGCATAGGCTCAGTCCCCAGTAGGGGACGTGCAGGAGGCAGCCAATCCGTTTCTCCCATCGGTGTTTCTACCTCTCTCTCCCTTCCTCTCTCTTAAAAATCAATGAAAACATATTAAACACTACATCAAGTTCATTTAAATTGTGAGCAAAAATATGAAGATAGGTGATTAGGCACATGATTTATTTAGACTTCAGGCCTTGGACAGGGAAATGATCCCCTTTTATATCTTTTATATCTTTGCTCCTAATGGAAATGACGATCTCTTTCCAATAACCTGCGTTATGACAGCTTCCAGGAACAGGCGTGATCAGGCAGACTTGCTGCTGTAACTGACACACGGACAAACGGTAGCTTTAAAGTTATTTGAAGGATAACAAGGATGAGTTCGGCCCCTCTGTACAAACGGAGGTCCAGGGACACCCAGGTCAAGCGCACAGCTATTTTGCAACAAAGTATACAGGGTGCAAAACAAAGACATCTTTTATCAGGGCTGCTAAAAACATTTAGGAGTCTGTAATGCATTTGGTATGGCCACCCCACAACACCAGCACCTGGCTACCAAGGATCTGAACCCCTCTTCTCTATTAAAGATATTGTGGAAGGATGAAAACTTTGCAAGCTTATGCGCTCTTACAATTGTACAGAACATCAATGGCAAACACAGTAATTCTAATACCATAACAGAAACACAGAAAACCTTTACCATCTCTATTTTTCAACTCCATGTACAATATTATATCGGGAACCTCTCACACGTTAAATTAAAATAAGGCTTATAAGTAAATGCTACATTTTATTTATTTAAAATTTTTTTTTTTTTTTTGCATTTATCTTCAGATAGAGGGGGAGGGACAGAGGGGGGAAGAGAGAGAGAGAGAAACATCGATGAGAGAGAACACTGATTGGCTACCTCCTGCACGCCCCCCATTGGGGATCAGGCCCACAACCTGGGCATGTGCCCTGACTGGGAATCGAACCAACGACCTCTTGGTACAGGGGTCCACGCTCAACCACTGAGCCACACCAGTCCCGGGAGCAAATGCTACATTTTAAAACTGTTTCTCATTAATAGAGATGACTTGATATTTAGTTTCCATGCCATGTGTGTCAGACCTACAGATTAGTGTATACTCTCGGATGTATCTAATTATAAAAGTCAGTTGTAAGGAGTTTAAGACAAGAGGGTGGGTGCAGAGAGGGAGGGAGTCAGGGATGATCCCAGTTGCATTCACAGGCTCAAGAAATGCCAGCAGGCCTAAGACCTAGCAGGTCTCTCCCTCTCCCTCTCCCTGTCTCCCTCTCCCTCCCTTCTTCCCTTCCTCTCTCTTTCCCTCCCTCTCTCTAAGAGCCTTTATTTGGGGCTGCTTCCCTCTACCTGGCGGGGTTCGTGGAAAACAGCTTGTGCTTTGCCCTGAGGTGGGAAGGGGTGCAGCCTCGTTCTCTGGGTTCAGAGGCACGTTCTACTGCATGACTGCAATAGAATTCCCTGGATTCTGGTCTCAAATGAAGGGAATGGTTCCACTAGGTGCAGAGGGCACGCCAACACGTGTGATACCTTCATGCCCCCAAGGAAAGGGCACGGGCGTGTGCTCCAACAGCGTGGTGGCCACGTTCCCCTGAAATTAAAGTGCACGCCTCCAGTCCTTACAGGGTCAGCACGCAAGATGCTGAGCAGAGGTGACAGGGATGAAGAGTCAGCAGCAGGACAGGGATGAGGGTGTTTCAGGGCAGTGACTTCACGTCCCACGGTGGTATGAACACATGTTAAGAGGCCAAGATTAGAAAAGAAAATCACACCATTTGGGGAGTAGACTGGAAGCAGAGATTACACTCGGATTCTCAGATAAGGTCCTCTCCTTGGGGCAGAGGTGTGGCACCTTTGCCCCTTTTCAGGGGACACAGGATAAATCTTGTGGGAGGAAGCTGGGGACCGAGAGAGGGTAGCCGGGCTGGGCACTCTGTTTTCATGCCAGGTGTTCCTGTAGGTACGGCCAGGACTAAGGGTTCCCCACTCCCTCGCTCAGCACCCACATCCAGAGCAGCAGCGTATGGCTTTGCAATTGCACATGCTCAGGCCTCTGTAGCTACACACCTGATGTCTGCCTACCCACCAGGCTACATCCCTGATGAAGAGGAACGGAACACCCGTCAATTTTGCATGCCCTGGACCAGCTCCGTGTTTGCTATGGAATGGATACTTAATAAATGTCTGATAAATGACTATACAAACAAACCACTCCAAAACTACATTACTAAAGAAAATAGAGAAGCAAAAGCAGGCGAATAAATCACTGGAAAATGTTCTTATGGGGCAATTAAACTGTTATATAGTCGCATCACAAGAGTAATTTACTTAAACCCAACATCGAAAACAAATATTTATTGATTATATACTACGCTCCAAGTGTTATTCCTGGTGCTGAGATTACAATGACAAATGTGAATGAATCTCATATTCCTCCTTACCTTAGAGAGCTGAAAATGTAATCAATTGCATGAAAATATACAGCGTGGAAGGGGGGAACAAGGAGTTTAAAAGCGTATGGGACTTTCTGAACCGTTTTTCCTGCGAGACAGATTCCATGAGATCTCACTCACCAGCAAGTGTGGTCGCAATGGGTGAACTGGTCTTTCCGTTGAGCAGAGGATCGCGTAGCCATGGTGTTCGCCCAGACTGCCCAGCTATCCATGTTCCTCGTCTTCTGAATCAACCCTCTGGCAGTGCCCAAACGCAGGACACAACCCCTCTGCCACCCGACTGTGGCTCTGCGGACCCGTCTCTCCTTACATGTGCTGTATCACCACATCAGTTCCTACCAGACCACCCCGTGAGTCGGAAGGCTTCCAAGTTCAGTAGGCAGAGCAACCCCTAGATTCTGGGGAAATGCAGATTCTGCTTCAGATCTGATTGGAGGGGGGCCGGGGATTTCCTTTCTAATAGGCTTCCTCTGTGGGAAGACCCCACTAGACCCCTCTAGACCACAGCTAGAGGACAGTGGGAGCGAGAAGGAATGAGTTGCTGTCCTGTGGTTCGTGGACGTACATGCCAACATCCATTCACTAGACTCCAGAGGTTCAGAGTCGTAGGGTAACGGGAGGTGCTTTGGCATCAGGGTGTCTTCAGGCTCGGCTGTCTCAGGGGCTATGCATGCAAATGAAAAGCAAAACCCCCAAATCACGCATCCTGCCCTCTTGCTTGCAGTGCTGTGGGGCAGAGGCCAGGGGGCTGGCACCCTAAATAAGCGAGAGAGAGAAAAAGGTCAAGGCTCTCTGGGGAGCTTCCCCTTCCTCTCTGTTGCTTAAAGCAAGAGGCAGCCTTGCATTGCCCCCCTCTCTTCTGTGGCTTCAGTGAGACGTCAACCTGTCCTTCAAAGAGGGAACCTGGAGCACCTCCAGGCAGGTGGTCTGGGACCCCTCCAGGCTTCCTCTGAGCGTGTGGACGGCACTTCACGGAGAGAAGGGACGTGTCAGTCCTTTGAATTGGGGGGGGGAGGTCAGCCTGCTGGCCACCACTGCCAGCTGCTTCTGACGTCTGTCGGCGGCCAGCAGTCCCAGCAGACAAACCAGAGTGCAGCGGGCATGCTCTGCAGCGGGCGCTTTACAGTTCAGCCCAACTCAGACGCCACCACCCCTTCTGCCCTGACGTCCCCGGGGGCTCAGAGAGGTTATGCAACCTGCCCGAGGTCACACAGCCTAAGGCTGCTGGGGAAGGGTGCTCCCCGGCCGCGGCCCGGCCTTTCCAGGGACGCCCAGGTAAACTCCCGGGGCACAAGCTGGCCCCTGGGGCCCGCCCGCGGAGCCAGCTGAGCCGCCTTGAGGGTGGGGGGGGAGAGAAGAGCCACTTCCGGGAGCAGGCGCGAAGAGGGCGAGCACTTCCGGTGCGCCGAACCTGAGGGTCGTCGGGGTCAGCGGACCCGCAGGAAAGGGCCGGCCTGCGGGTGGCGCTCACCGGCGCACAGGGGCTGAAAGGGATCGCTAGGTCTCGGGAGAATTGAGGACTCCGGACGAGACAGTCTCGTCCCTTAATCGTACTCGGACACCCCTGGGTCAAGCGGCACGCTGCGCGCCGCCATGATGAGCGCAGCCCTTTAAGTGGAGGGGGCTGGGCCCAGCGGATGCCCGCCTCGGCGCGATGACGTCACAGGCCCTCGCGGTGGGCGGGACCTTTCTGGATGGACGCACGGCGAACGTGGTTCGGCCCTGGTGGGCGTGGCCGCATTGAGTGACGGCCCGGCCCCGCCTTCCGGTTAAGGAGGGGTGGGGGGCAATCAACACGGAACTGCCTCAGGCCTGCATTGGTAGGGCGGAGCCTCGCTGAGTGACGGCCCGGCCCCGCCTTCCGGTTAAGGTGGGGTCGGGGGCGTTCAACACGGAAGTGCCTCTGGCCTGCATTGGTAGGGTGGAGCCTCGCTGAGTGATGGTCCGGCCCCGCCTTGCGGTTAAGGAGGGATCGGGGGCGTTCAACACGGAAGTGCCTCTGGCGTGCTTTGGTAGGGCGGAGCCGCATTGAGTGACGGCTCGGCTCCGCCTTCCGGTTAAGGGGGAGTGAGGGGGGGCGACCAACACGGAAGTGCCTCCGGCCTGCATTGGTAGGGCGGGGCCTCGCTGAGTGACGGCTCGGCTCCGCCTTCCGGTTAAGGGGGGGTGAGGGGGGGCGACCAACACGGAAGTGCCTCCGGCCTGCATTGGTAGGGCGGAGCCTCGCTGAGTGACGGCTCGGCTCCGCCTTCCGGTTAAGGGGAGTGAGGGGGGGCGACCAACACGGAAGTGCCTCCGGCCTGCATTGGTAGGGCGGAGCCGCATTGAGTGACGGCTCGGCTCCGCCTTCCGGTTAAGGGGGATGAGGGGGGGCGATCAACACGGAAGTGCCTCCGGCCTGCATTGGTAGGGCGGAGCCGGGTGCGGGCGAGGGGCGTGCGAGGGGCGGGCGAGGGGCGTGCTTCGACCCCCAGAGGTTGCTTGGAGATTGGCGGGTCGATTTACTCCCCCGGGCCGGGTATGGCGGCCGCCGGGTCCTGGGCCTGCGCGGTGCAGGCCGGGCACCTGGAGGCTGACCCCCCGTCCCTCACCCCTCCATCTCACTAATTAACAGAAAGCGGGGCCCGGCTGCAACGCCCGAGCTCCCAGCTCACAGGGCTCCGCCAGGTGCAGCAGAACGAGGGTTTCGGCTCCCGAGTCGGAGGACGGGAGGCCTGCGCCATGCGCCTGTGCGGATGGCCTTGGGATGGGGGTCCTGGGGCCCCCAGGGCCGCCCGGGGAGCAGCACTGGGCAGATTTCACCCCGTGGGGCATCCTCCCTCTGGGGCGTGGGCGAACCGGCTCCTATAGTGAGATTGCTAATATTGTGAGATTGCTAACGGGTGTCAGGTGGTGCAGGTCACCTTGGAGCCCCCAATGCCCTTGACCTCAAATGGTCCTAAGAAATTTGGCTTGGAAATCGATCTCATTTACTGCATAATTGTGGGCATTTTTTTATTTTTTATTAAAGAAAATCTGGATGCCCCACAGGGACAGGGGTGGGGAGGAAGCCAGGAACCTGTTTTTGAAACGGACTGTTCACTTGCAAAAACCCAATATGTGCACCATTTGATAATTGCTATGGTCTATGATTTTACGTAGACCATTCCCCTCAAAAGTTCCAAAAGGTCGAGAAAATAACCGAATGTATGGACAGTTGGAATGTATCCCTCCCTCTATCTTTCTTGCCAAGTAAAGAAGTAATTACTAATGAATGAATAAATTGCACATTTGTTCAGTGGATTGCAAAACCTCCTGAACAAATACGGCATGGGGTTATTATTTAATTTTAAAATGAATAAAACTCCGGGTCAAGGGGAAAGAGGGAGGGAAAATGTTTCCTCGAAGGATTTGCATGTTTAATTAGACTTGAATTGCAAACACTGTGCTTCGAACAAAGGATAGTTTATTCAGAGAAAGGCTTGAAATCATAATTCGCATACTATACCCATTTAGAGCATTTCTTTTCTTTCTTTCTTTCTTTTTTTTTTTTTTTTTTTTGCGTGTGTGGCCAATGTCGCAGCAGGAATGAAAGGAATCAACTTGTCCTTTTCGGCGTGTGGGTTTCTGGGCATATACCACTTGGGGGCAGCATCGGCGCTCTGCAGACACGGCCAGAAACTCCTGAAAGATGTGCAGGCCTTCGCTGGAGCTTCTGCAGGGTCCTTGGTTGCATCGGTCCTGCTCACAGCACCAGAAAAATTAGAGGTAATTAAGTAGTAACTAGGCCGTGTTCTTGGGCAACCAATGAAGATTGGACAACACAGAAGAATGTTAGCTCTAAGTTAACTGCACAGAAATAATCCTTTGCCGGGGAAACATGAAAGGCTAAAACTTCTCTTTCAAAATGGAATCATTAGGGATGTGTGCTCTGGATTTGGAAAAGAAGATCGTTTGGGGGTGCGAGCGAGGCAGGAGAGAGAATGCCTTATTTCACTCTTGAGGGTTGATTTAGTCGTGAGATTCTGGCTGTTTCTTTCAGGCAAAGGCCATTTCTTATCTGACCACGAGAAGAGCCCAGGGCCCCCTTTCAAAGCCTTGAACATGTGGCCGATCACTCTGCTCCTCCCCATTCCCATTACCCACGAACACGGGTGCCTATAATTTATATTAAGTGGAATGGTATTAGAATTTAATTTGCTTTTCATTCTCTCAGTACGCAAAAGCCTTTTATCCAGAAGTAATAAAAACAAGCCCTCGTTACGTATTTCATTTAATGCAATTTATGTTTTTGAAAATCAGTGTTCTGCTTCCAGACAGTGATTATGCCTTCACTGCCGTGGAGAGCTGACTTCTGTAGGTGGAGAGTATTACATTTGTTAATTGCTTCCATACGCAATTGGCTCTGAACAGTAATCAAGTAACGATGAACACATTCATGCCCACGGATGCATTTAAGTCACATTTACATTTTCAAACCTACATGTTACACCTCAGAAAAAGTCTTGTTTTCCAGTCTGTGCTGAGCTGCACACGAACGTGAAACTGGATTGGAGGCCAGTTGTGCAGAAATCCACGTGTCTTTTCTTCTAGTCGTTAACGTGGTTGCTACAATGGGAAGGAGAAAAGGAAGAAGTTTGGAGATTGCAGAGGGTGAGAAGCTAATCGGGGAAAGGGGACGGCAGGTGTGAGAACTCCTTCCAAAGTAGCAGAACCACAGGCCTTGAGCCGTCGGCTTGGACTTTGTTTTCTTTTTGAAGCAGGGGCTACTGCGGGGTTACCCCTCCCCCGCAGTGTGGTTTTCCACTGCGGCGGGGCAGACTGAGCTGTGGAGTCGGGCAGCCTTGGTTCCGAATCCTCAGCTGAGTTAGAAACATGCCGAGTTAGGATGGACAGGATCAGGAAATACTGCAGTGACATGGCCACCTACCAGAAATTCTGTGATGGCCAGATGTTGAATGGTTTACCCGGAGGTGAGACTTGACTCACCACAAGTTAAATCAGATGACCTGCTCTCATTTACTTTTCAGTACACTGGGGGCCTGGTTGTATGGCCCCGTTGTGCTGGTAGAACGTAAGGGGGGTCTTTATTGCTGCTCGCAGTGGAGGCTGGAGGGTGACTCTCTCTTTGTGTTCAGGCCTCCTCATTTCTGCTGCGGACTACATGTTCAGCCTTTTGGCTTCAGGCTATTTTCTGTCTTTTCAGCATTGGAAATAGACCTCCCGTAGGCTGGCTTTGAGTTTTTTTGAGCCGACTGCTCCCTACCCACTCCCGTCGCGGTTAGCTCTGCTCACGGGTGGCGTGCGTTCCTCCCGCTTTGCGGTGTTGTGACAAATGGAGTCATGCATCCAGTTCTGAGCTCTGCATGCATAATTAAGGGCAGCACCTGACGCCGCCGGCCGCGCATTGTGGGTGCTGGGCACATCTCCACGTTGACATGGGAACACTGCAAGCCTTTCCCCAGCCATCATACTCTGCAGGGCCTGGTGGTAGACAGTGGGGGACGCGTTCCTTAACAAGTCTCAGACCTGGTCAGGGGTGTGTGTGTGTAAGTAAATTAACACAAGAAGATAGCCTAAGTGCAGTCTCACTTAGGAGAAAGGGCACGTGTTTAGGGGGACGCCCTCATTTGTCACCTAGAAGCCAAGAGCAGCTTCCCAACAGATGGGCCGACATCTGCCTTGAGGCCCGCGACCCAGCCACCTCGGAGCACTTACTGATTTTACCCGAACACAAGTCTCATGAGCTCACTGCTGACCCCCCCCAGCTCACTGCCAACCTCCCCCCGCCCCCAGGTTCACTGCCGACCCCTGCCCCCCCCCCCCCCCGCGGGAGCTCACTGCCACCCCACCCTCGCCCTGGGGGCCCCCCATTGAGTCAGGACAGGTCTGGGTTTCTCAGTGGGCCTCTCGGGGCCCCCTATGTCTGAGCTTTTCCCTGGCTCCCTGATGATGCCTCTTGCATCTGTGCCCTCTCTGGATGTTGTCACCCTAACTCCTCCTCCTGTGCAACCCCCATTCCTGTTCCAGGTTGCAGCCTGGATGTCAGGTTGGAGGGCAGCCTCTGGTGACCCCTGAAGTTGGAGGTTGACGTCCCTGGTACTTGTCCAGTCACTGCTGTGACAAATGACCACAGGCCTAGTGGCTTGAACACAGCACATACCCATCCTGTTGTTCCGGAGGTCACGGGCCTGCAGCGGTCTCGGGGAGCTGACATGGAAGTCTGGGCAGGGCCATCTCTCCGCAGGCCCTGGGGACCACCTGATTCCTGCCTCTTGCGCTTCTCAAAGGTGCTGCCTGGCTCGTGGCCCTGCCCGTGCTTAAGGCCATAGCATAGCATCTCCAGATCTGCAGCGTGGACCCTCCTGCCTCCCCGTTTCACTTACAGGGACTCTGATGACACTCGGCCCAGCCGGGTCGTCCAGAGTCGTCTCTGCAGCTCGAGATCCCTAAGGAATCGCATCTGCAAAGTCCCTTTGTCTCGAGGTCACACAGTCACAGGCTCTGGGGCGAGGATGTGGGCATCCGCAGGGGGCAGGAGGCAGGGGGCTGGGTTCTGTCTCTCAGGTGCTCTTGCAATCCTGCGGGACCTGCTCACTGAGCCCAGCCCGAGTGTCCGCAGGGAGGGCTCCTCCAATCTCGTTCCCACCGTGTTCCCACGCCCTGCCAGGGCCTCCTGCCCGGCAGGTTGCTGAATGAGTTAATTGATACATGAAGGACAGGCCTGGGTTCCAATCCCGCCTGCCTGTGACCCTGATTTTTGATGACATATCAGGCAAGATACTTCATCTCTTGAAGCCTGTTTTCTCACCTGTCAAGTGGGTGGTCACACCTACCTTGAAGGGTTGTGAGCTGGCGGGGCCGAGTCCGTGGGTCCCAGTCTGCACGGATGGGCAGACCCCCGTGGGGCCCTTTCATGAAGCAGCAGAGATCTGCAGAGACTGACGGTGCTGGCGAGGGGCAGCGGCCCGGACTCCCCGGTCCGCCCGGGTGTGGTCACGAGTACGCGCTGTGTGCAGGCCGTGGGTGCCCGGGAGGAGGCTGGCGGGGTGGGAGAAGGCTGGAAGAACGCGCTCCCGTGGGCCTGCGGACTTCTCCAGGTGTGGGCAGTGCCGCGTGGGGGTGAAAGCCCGACCACGGTGGGGCTTGGGGCACACAGGGCTCGCTGGGGACAGCGGCGGGTGAGGCCCGGCGGGGTCAGCGCTCCCGCGAAGGAGCGTGGCCTGCAGGACCGGTGCACGTGCCCGCGGTCCAGGCGCACGGTCCTCAGGACGGAGGCCGGGAATCCGAGGGACTGGACAACGCGGTCGCCTGTTACGTTGCTTCCTAGGAGTGCGGTGAATTCACCTACGTGTTTGCTGAGGAGATCCGCCGGCAGGCCCTCGGGGCAGCGACTCCCGGCTACGACTTCATGGCCCGATTGAGGTAGGGACGCTGCAGCCCCAAAGCGTGCGACGGTGTGGAGGGCGCCCCTCCCTGGGGCCGGCCAGCTCGGCCGTCCGCACGGGCGCTCGGTCAGCCAGGGCAGGTGACGGCTCCCTTTCCTTCCGCAGAAGCGGGATGGAGTCCATTCTGCCGCCCGACGCTCACACGCTGGCCTGCGGCCGCCTGCACGTGTCCATCACCAACGCCCGGAGCGGGCGGAACTGCCTGGTGTCCGCCTTCTGCTCCAGGGAGGACCTCCTGCAGGTAGCTGCCTGGGCTCGGGGTGCCCGTCTGCGGTGCATGCCCGTCACGTCTCCCTGTGCGTGCCCGTCACGTCTTTCTGCTCGTGCCTGTGACGTCTGCGGTGCGTGCCTCTGACGTCTACCCGTGCGTGCCCGTCACGTCTGCGGTGCGTGCCTCTGACGTCTCCCTGCTCATGCCAGTAACGTCTGCGGTGCGTGCCTCTGACGTCTCCCTGCTCGTGCCAGTAACGTCTGCGGTGCGTGCCCGTCACGTCTCCCTGTGCGTGCCCGTCACGTCTGCGGTGCGTGCCTCTGACGTCTCCCTGCTCGTTCCAGTAACGTCTGCGGTGCGTGCCTCTGACGTCTCCCTGCTCGTTCCAGTAACGTCTGCGGTGCGTGCCCGTCACGTCTCCCCATGCGTGCCCGTGACGTCTCCAGTGCGTGGCCGTGACGTCTCCCCGTGCCCGTGACGTCTCCCCGTGCCCGTGACGTCTCCCTGTGCGTGCCCGTGATGTCTGCAGTGCGTGCCCGTGACGTCTCCCCGTGCGTGCCCGTGACGTCTCCCTGTGCGTGCCCGTGACGTCTGCAGTGTGTGCCCATGACGTCTCCCCGTGCGTGCCCGTCACGTCTTCCTGTGCCCGTCATGTCTCCCTGTGAGTGCCGGTGACGTCTCCCTGTGCACGCCCATCACGTCTCCCTGCCCGTGCCCCTGACGTCTGCGGGTGCATGTCCGTCACGTCTCTGAGTGCGCGTCCGTCACGCCTCCCTGCGCGTGCCCGTCACATCTCCCGGTGACATAAGCTAATCGGTGTGACTGGAGAGCAAATTCTAAAAAGCACGACAAGTGTGTTCTAAACGACAAAGCCCTTTATGCCCGTGGAATATAGCCAACGTTTAATAAGTAATGGACAAGTCGGAATAAACCACCGGGCCTGCCAGTGTGGCTCTGTGGTTGAGCGTCGACCCTGCACCAAGAGGTGGCTGGTTTGATTCCCGGTTAGGGCACAGGCCCAGGTTGTGGGCTCCATCCCTAGTGGGGGGCGTGCAGGAGGCAAAATCCTTATTGTCTCTCATCGGTGTTTCTCTCTCTCTCTCCCTTCCTCTGTCTCCAAAATCAATACAGAAAAGCAAAACTAGTCAACGGACAGCAGGCGTCCGTGCACCACAGCTGTCTTCAGAAGCCTGGGGAGCTTCCCCCGCTTCTCACACTCCTCCCGCCTGACCCTTGCTGCTCGGGTCTGCCTGGGGGCAGCTGCTGGCTCACCACTGTCATGTCCCAAGACACGTGGGCCTCGGACTTGACCTCGTGTCCACAGCCTTCTCCTTAAAGCGTGTGGGATGGTTCCGACTGAGAGGACGATGATTAACGTCCCTTTCAGTGACGTGAGAGCAGTCTTTCCTTGGGTGACCGCAAGGACAGTGGATGGTTTTCTGAGACCCTCCGTGCACCGATGAGTTGGCCCAAAGATTCGTTTTCTTCGGGGTTACTTTTCCGTAGTACTGTATTCTGCATCTTGTGGCCACGGTGATTGAATCAGGGCCATGGACGGAAAGTGTGTTCCCTTCCAGGTTCACACTTTGAGTGTTAGCTCCCACGGCATGGGATGAGGATGGGCCTGTGGGCGGCGATGAGCTCGTGAGGGTGGAGCCCTCGGGCGCGGGGTGAGTGTCCTTGTGAAAGAGACCCAGAGAGTTCTCACCCTTCCACCTCGTGAGGACACTGCGAAGCTGGTTCTCAGCACGCCCTGAGCCTGCTGACCCCCTGACCCCCGCAGCAGAGTGTGAGAATCCACTTCTGCTGTCAGTCAGCCACCCAGTGTGCGACGTTTATTCCAGCAGCCCGGGAGGTGTAAGCCCGGTTCGGGTCCGGAGAAGCAGGGTGCTGCTCTGAGGGACACCTCCAGGGGTGCACGAGGTAAAGGGCAGAGGCTGGAATGTTTTTGAGGTGCCAGCTAGAAACACCCTTTGTTTCTGCAGACATTCTCGGGGGGGGGGCGGCGCACGGCAGAGCCCCCACCGTCTGGGGGATGCTGTGGGCCTGCAGAGGGGGTGGGGCGGCGTGTGGGGGTGAAGGCCGTTCATTGAGCTCTGGGACGGAGATGCTGACAAGCTTTCAGACCGTGCGGGATCGGCTCCTTGGGGGAAGCGGGCAGAGGACTCGGCGGGAACGTGTCCCCATCCCAGCGTGCGTAGAAAGCTGAGTGACCCGGGATGAAGTCGGGCCCTGGATGACACAGTCTGTGAGCCTAGTGCTGAAGGGGGGGGCTGGTTTCTCTGGACTTGGGGCACAATGCAGGAAGGCGGAAATGACTTACAGATGGAGCCGTTCATCAGAAGCAGAGAGAACGTAGGGGTTTGGGACGTTCTTGGCCTATCCTTACAGAAAGAGCGAGAGAGCTTGTTCAGGACCGAACAGGAAGAGAGTGGCCAGGTGGCCCAGTGACCATCGGAGGACATGAGTCACCATGGAAGCAGAGGCCAGGACCTCTCATGCCGACCCAGGGAGGATGGCCCCACCAGTTTCAGAGGTCGTCGGGACGGCCGCTGTCACGGGGCCACTGCGGAGGCCCCAGCAGAGCCATGGGCATGGGGCCACCCCGCGCTCCTGAACCCCAGACCAGAGAGCAACCGGCGTGCAATGATTCCAGTCCCGGGGCCTCAGGCAGCAAACCGCGTCCAGAGGCAAGTCGCTTCCGACTCACTAATGCCTTGATTCCTGTGCCCCTCACGCACTGTCCCCTGAAAGCCCACGTCTGTCTGTTTTACAAATCAGCTCGTTTGCTGTAAGTTCCACATCTCATTCTGGGCTGTATTTTTTTCAGAAGGAAACACGCAGTCAGGAAATCCAAGCACATTTCAACATTTGTCTGCAGCAAAGCCTCCTGGGGGGGGGGGGGAAGAGGGGTGCGCCTTCTGGTGAAAAGAAAGCGGGGGTCTCGGCCACCCGCCGCGGAGCCAAGTGACTGAGAGGCGGCGTGCACGGACGCCGCTGGACCTCCGCCTGACCCTTCGCCCCAGTCACTGCCTGCCCCACGCTGCAGGCTTTGCCTTGGCGTCTGCAGTGGCCTTTCTGCAGACACGCACCCTCTCGGCCACATACGCCCGGGGGCCTTGCGTGCACAACGCTGTCCCTCCTGCGAAGAAGCGCCGGTCCCCGTCACGGGATGTCCCGAAGGCCGGTGCACACAGCCGGATGCTCTGGCACAAGAGCCCACACTTCGCTGCCGCCGGGACGTGAGCACAGAATCGAAGATGGGTCGTTATCCGGGAATCCGGTTCTGACTTCCAGCCACAGCACCGGCTCTGCACCCACAGGCAGATCCTCATGAAACCCGCGGTCGACTCGAGGCGCGCAGGCGGCCTGTCGGGAATCGGTTCTCGGAGGGAGCCCGTCCGTACAACCTCCGAAACGCCCCTGGTCCACGAAACGGGAAACGAGAGAGCCAGTCGGGATGTGTGCCGGACATGCGCTGGTTGGGGTTCATGCCGTCGCTCCGGAAGTCCCCACCCTTCATTCGTATCACCGTGTAATTAGCAAGCGTGAAACACAACCCAGATCCACGCTTTAACATTTGGATCCTGTTCCACTGCGGGGGCGAGGCAGGCACCCCCGGCTTTGTACATCAGTCTTCTCCCCGCACACTGTCCGCAGACGGGGTACGTGTTCCGGGGTGCGGGAGGGAGGCTCAGACACCCCCACAGAGCCGCTGCCCTGGATGTGTTGCGAGTTCTTGGTGAGAAAGTGCCCGGGGACGGCGGGGACAGCGCAGGGCTCAGTGTAACACCTCATCCAGGGGCCCGAGAGCCAGCCTGTCTCTTCCTCAGCACATGCTCCTCGCTAGCAGTCAGAAGGCGCCAGCATCTGCATAAGAGCCGCCATTCAGTTCTTAAGTATCCAGAGCTAATTTCCCCACCGAACCGCCTTTGATATACCCAGCGCCCGCCAATATCAAGGGAGACCGAGCAGCGGCAGAACAAATACGCTGACTCGGGGTGACAGGTCCTTCCCAGCTCCCTGCACCGCTCGCGGCTTCCACGGGGACTCTTCCTGTCATTACCTGCGGGAGAGTAATTGCAGAGCGTTTTTCATCCAAGCGCTTCAAAGGGCCCCCGGCGTCAACTTGTGAACCTCAGTTAGACTTGGACACAGCGGAAGCACGCGCACGATGCTGGTTCTCAGGGGCGGGGTTGCTGTCCCTGGGCGCCTGTGGCCCGGCTGCGCACGAAACGAATCGTTACATGCAGAGAGTGTCTTCGGTTCAGAAGCCCCGTGAGGACGGCAGTTCCCAGCGCGCGTGCTGTCCACACACTGTTCCGTGTCCTGCTGTGGTGCACGGTGCGTGTGCTGCAAGCCTTCGTGCGGTGGCCCCGCGGCGCTTGCAGACACGCCCGGGCTCCGTGATTCTTTCAAAGGTGCAGCGAGCTGGTGAGACAGCCACGTGTAGGTAGGGTGACCATGCCTGTAAACGCCTGTGTCCGAAAAACACCCACTACGGATGTCCTTGCAAACACTGGGCCTAGAAGGTCGGGGCTGCGGGTCCTGGTTTCTATCCCGTCTGCCCCCGTCGCTCCATCTGCTACGTGGCCCTCCGAAGGCTCCTGGCGTGACGCTCACGGCCGCCCCGCCTCTGCGGAGTGGGCGTGGTCCATGCCCTGCTCACCCGTGTCCGGCTGCCCTGGCTCCCGGGACACTGGGCTTTGGAGAGGAGGGCTGAGGGGCAGGCCTGTCTGCACCGACTTCTTTGTAGCAGCCTGGCCAGCCTCCTGCGAGGTCGTCCTTGCGGCTGGGATTGCGCTGTGCACACCTGGCCCTGCGGGGCACCAGCATGCCCACTTCACCCCAGGCCGGCGGGCCACGCAGGCGGCCTGGCACCCGCTGCGGCCTGGCACACGGGCGCAGCACGCAGCGTCTCTCCCCTTCCCCTGCCGGAGCCCTCGCTAGCTGTCACACCGCCCCGTTGGCTGCTCTGCCACCTCTGCGGCCCGGCGCCCTGGGCCACCTGTCCCCAGCAGGGCGTCTCCTGCACGCAGCGTGCCAGGACCACGTGCGGGATCTCCAGTCGCCCCCTGCGCGCGCACGCGGAGGGCAGCGGCAGGGGCGGTCAGCTCTCCCTCCGAGGGGCAGACAGGACAGGGGCGGTGGCTGACCCCGCGAGGACGCACAACCGCCAGGGGGCGCTGGCAGTGGGGGGCCAGGAGCGGGTGGGGGAGGAGAGCGCTGCAGCGGAGGCCAACGCCAGGCCCCGGGACAGCAGCCCAGGGTGCCGGAGTAAGTCCCTCCCGCTGGCCGGCGGATGTGCCCACGGAAGGCGGACGCAGCCTCTGGTCCCAGCCTTGACTGTCCCTGCGGATGAGCAGCCTTTTGGAGCCAACCTCAGAAACCGGGCCTCTGACGCTGTTCCTTAGGGGGAGATGCCTCCGGCTTCTCAGTGGTTCCGGACGCGTGGTTCACCCATCCGTGTCGGGGGCCCCGGGCATGTCCAAACGTGCGGAGAGGAGCCCTCGTGCCCTCGGACAGCGAGCCGGGGGTGACCGCTGGGCGGCCGAAGGACGGTCGCCTGCGTGTTCAGGGTCCAGGAGAAGCCCGAGGGGCAGAAACCGCAGTGCGCACAGCGGTGCCTGTGGGGACCGCCCAGAGCCAGCCGCCGTGCCGGAAGAGAGGGGACCTGTCCGCACGAGGCTTCCTCCACTCTGCACGGACGCTCGAGGACAGCCGCGTCCCTGCCGCCGCTGTGTCGCCGGGCACTTGGCTCACAACACCTGCTGCCCCCGCAGCGGCCTGGTGGTGGGAGAGGGACACCCTGAGCTGCTAGCCGTGTCCCTGAGAGGACCCAGGGTGGTGCTGTGGGCGTGTCTGCCCCTGGACACACTGGAATTGAGCTTCACTGGGCCTCACCTGGCAGGGGCCTGGCTGGTGCAGCTCAGACGCCCACTTCGCTCAGGGGACTCGAGAGAGCACACCGAGCCGTGCCTGTGTCCTTAGGGTCTTCTCAGACACTCACTCCACCCTCTACTTCCCTGCGGCTGCGGTGCCCTTGACCTGGAGGCAGCTCGTTTCATTTCCTGTAGCAATCTGACCTTTCATCGGGAGGACTTTGCATAGACACATGTGAGAGCTGTCCTCTGAGTGTGAGCCCTCCACCCAGGTGACGGCTGTGGGCCTGATTGTCAAGGTCTTACAGCCGAGAAAGATGGACTGGGATGCGCCTTCGGATATCTGCTTAAACATCTGCACCCGTTTCTGCCTCCCCCAGGTTCTCTGCGCCAGCAGCTTCGTGCCCATCTACGCGGGGCTGAGAGCAGTGGAGTACAGAGGGCAGGTAACGCTCTTTCTATTTACTCATTCTTTCTTTGTTGATTTGAGACAGAGAGGAAGGGAGAGGGGCAGAAAGACAGAAACATGGATGAGAGAGAACATCGACTGGCTGCCTCCTGCACGCCCCCCACTGGGGATCGGACCCACAACCTGGGCCTGTGTCCTGACCTGGAATCGAACCAGTGACCTCTTGGTGCAGGGTCGACGCTCACCCACGGAGCCACACCTGCCGGGTGGGTAACACTATCGTAACGGCCGGGGTGTCAGTGACGCCGTAAGCGTACACATCCTTCAAAGGACCCAGTTTTATGATATGTGTTCTGGCGGCCTCAAATCAGTCTGTAGGGTTTTCTTCCTACACGGGCTGTCTCTGTTGGCCGAAACAAAAGTCAGGTGACGGCTGTGGGCCTGCTTGTCCAGGTCTTGCGGCTGAGAAAGATGGACTGGGATGCCCCTTCGGATATCTGCTTAAACATCTGTACCCGTTTCTTCCAATGGAGTAAAAGACTTTTTTCCTAATGCAGTCTTATTCACGGGCCCTTGTATAAATAGCAAGGAGCAGAATGGAACTGTTGGGGAGAAGGCAAAGGGGCGTGCACACCGGGGCCCAGCAAAGCCTGGGGCTCCATCCATCCCACCCCAGGGACCCGCGGCTGGGCAGCAAGCCCGTTGCCTTCCACTCACAGCTGTGCCTCCCGGAGGCCGCGCCCCAGACAGCTCTCTTCCGTGGGGCTGGCCTCCGGCAGGACCCCCAGCCTTACAGGGGCATGTGGAGGGGAGCCCCACTGCAGGCTGCCCTCAGCACGACCCAGGGACGATGCCGCCAGCTCCCTCTCCTACCACACTGCGTGTGCTCGCTGTATACCACGCACCCCCCACCGCGCCAGCAACGTGCCCTTGTCCCCAATCCAGTGTCCACCTGACACACACCACAGATGCACCGTAGAGTCCATCCAGTGTCCACCTGACACACACCAGAGATGCACCGTATAGTCCATCCAGTGTCTGTTGCCTATCGCCACTCATAAACTTATTTGAGGGGTAACCCTCTTTACAGAACTATTGGAAAGCAAGCTAAGTAGCAATTCCCTCTTGTTATATAAGTAAAAACCAACATTTATTTTTCCATATAGATTTTGAATAAAGGTGCTATCATCATCCACTTTATGTTGTGAACTAAGTTTTACAATATTCTGAAATGTGATGTGGCCCTGTGCCAATAAAACTTTATTCGCAGAAGCAGGTGGTGGGCCGGAGTTTGCCAGCCCCTGACCTCGAACAAGTAACTGTCCAACCCTTGATTTCCTTTTCTGCAAAATGAAGAAACAGTGTTTTGTTTCTTTTAATTCTCACCTGAGGATATTTTTCAGTTTATCTTCGGACAGAGTGGGAGGGAGGGAGGGAGGGAGAGAGAGACACACACATTGACTTCAGAGAGACACACTGACTGGCTGCCTCGCACAACCCGACCAGGACCAGGGACAAACCACAACCAAGGTCCGTGCCCTTGACCGGAATCGAACCCATGACTCATTGGTCTGCAGGCTGACGCTCTAACCGCTGAGCCAAACCGGCCAGGGCAGGGAACAGTGCATTAACATGACCTTCCTACCCAATGACATTCCCATTCAGACTGAACGCACTGGCACACGAGAAGTTGTTTTATAAACCACTAGGGCCCAGTATTTATAATGAGTTCAGGTACCAACATCTCATTTCTTCATGGGGCAAGGAGTGTTTACTCACATGCCTTTTGAGCAACATAGCCCTGGAGAAAAGTCAGCTGTGCACAGAGCCCCCACCAGAAGCGCATCTGGGGGCTAGCACGCGTCCCGGTCGCTTCCCCCGGGTGGAGATCACCTTGCTGGAATGCACACCCTGGCAGCCTCTTCTTCACGGGCTGACTGTGCCAGGCGCCCGTGAGCTGGTCCGGATGGGACAACCTGCTGGGTGTGAGGGTGCTGCTGCCGCCTTAGGGTGCTGCTCCCCTGGGCTCAGGCGGCACCGTCGCACCCTGGCGCGCAGACCCCACCCCGAAAGTGTCTGTTTCCTGCTGAGCAGCTGTCTATTCCCCACTCCTGGACTCGACGTGAAGGTGGAGCCCTGCGGGACTGGTCAGAGGTTCGGTGTGAGCACACGGACTGTCACACCGCACTGACCATGCGGGCCCCGGGCCGCGGCGCCAGCCCGCCGCAGGTGTCCCTTTGGGAGCACATGGCGGGGGTGTTCTTGGAGCTGGGCCTTCCCTTCCCCGCAAGGACCACGGAGCCGTGCACTCACAAAGGCAGGGCAACACTGTCCAGGGCCCAGCAGCAGATTCTGGTCCTGGAGGGCCGTGTGGGCGCCCCACCAGCTCAGGGCCACAGCTGCCAGCTCATGGACGGCGGCCCCCGGGTGGGGTGTGGGAGGGACTCACGGGATGTAGCACACAGCAGACCATGTGCACAGAAGTGTGGAAACGCATCCTCAGCCTGGCCAGTGGGGCTCAGTGGTTGAGCGTCGACCCTGCATTAAGAGGTCCCAGTGTGCCCTGTCCAGTTTGGCTCAGTGGTTGAACGTCGGCCTGCGGATCAGAGAGTCCTGGGTTCGGTTCCCGCTAGGGGCAGGCACCACACACAAAAAAAGAGGTCGCTGGTTTGATTCCCATTCAGGGCACATGCCCAGGATGTGGGCCCAGTGGGCGGCATGCAGGAGGTGACCAATCGATGTTCTCATCAATGTTTCTGTCTCTCTCTCCCTCTCCCTAAAAAATCAATGAAAATGTTTAAAGAGATGCAGGCCTCTCCACGGTCAGTATCACACGAGGCCCCGAGTGTTTCCTACTTCAGTGAGGAGGTGGACGGATGCTCCGTGCTGTGACTGTCCTCTCCAGAAACCTTGCTAGGGTGTGCCAGGGTGAATGTGTGCTGGGGGCCATGTGGCTGGGGACAGTGTCACTCGGGGCATGACAGGCAGTGCGGAGGGAGGGAGCTCGTGCAGCTCATCGAGCCCCCGGGAATGTGTGCTGGGGGGCCATGTGGCTGGGGACAGTGTCACTCGGGGCATGACAGGCAGTGCGGAGGGAGGGAACATGAGCAGCTCATTGAGCCCCCAGGAAGCAGTGAGCTTCCCCGTCCTGTGTCCACACAGAATTTGGAAGCAGGATTTCCTGGAACAGCAGCCATTACCCCGCAGCACAAGGGCCCCTCAGTGGCAGAAGGCAGGGAGGCGTCTCTGAGCGTGTGACGGGGGCACCCCGCCTCAGTGCCCTGGGGGAAATTGAGGCCTGTGCACCCCTCTGGCTGGGGTATGAGACTGTGGGACGTCATTTGCAAGGCCTTTCTTCCTTCCAGTCCAGCTGTGACCCTGTTCCAGAAATTGGTACCCAGGCCCCAGCAACCAGGACACAGACAGGAAGGAAGTTCTGGGAGAATAAGACACACACACAGATATTTGGGGGCTTTCGTATTGTAAAGCTCCCCCTCTCATGCTGTTTCCATAGCCACATGCACACATGTAATCATATGTGCACACACATGTCATACACACACACGTGACTGTGCTTAGATACACACAGACACATCCACATGTCTCGTCCTCATAATTACATAGTCATGTGTATTATGTTCTTTAAAAATAAGGGCAGTATACAAAGTTTCCACGTCAGGTTCTTTTCCATCTAATCTACCTGTTTTCCTTCACCAAAATGCAGTGCCCTCAAAGACACATCCATCCACATCCACTCTGGGTTGAGTTTTATTCCCTGTAAGAGTTGGCAGCTGGCCAAGGCCCCCGTAAACACTGCAGTCTCGGCCACGTGGTCCCCAGCGTGAGAAACAGAAACAAGTAGAAAGAGGTTTAAATAAAAGACACCAGAGGTGGCAGGAAGGACCTGTTTGGACTGAGTTCAGGACAGGGTGCTCACTTTTCTCTGCGCCTCCCTCCACCCCCAAGCCGAGCAGCCCACTTGGCTTTCCTACAGCACCGTCAGGTGTGCGAGCGCAGCCCCGTGTACACGCTCCTCCGCACACCCTTCTCCACCGCGACCAGGCTCTGCTTTGTGCATATCGATGGAAGATCTTTTGGATGGGAGACAGGAAGGAAGAGCCCGTCCCCTTTGAGACGACATGGAGGGACCTGGAGGGTATTACGCTGAGTGAAGTAAGCAGTCAGAGAAAGACAAGGACCGCATGATCTCACTTGTTTGTGGGATATCAGGAACAGAAAAAGGGGGTGAACAAAACAGATGCAGAGACATGGAAGTAGGGAACAGACTGATGAACCTCGGGGGGGGGAGAGAAACAGCAAAGAATTTATCAGCATATGTGCACAGCCTGTGCACACAGACAACAGTGAAGTGCAGGGGGGATGGGAGCCGGGGGAGGGAGCAGGGGGGGAGGAGGGGCATCAGTGATACCTTTAACAATAAAGATAATTTTTTTTTTTATCCTCAACCGAGGACACTTTTCCATTTTTTGTACAGTTAGAGTGGGAGGGAGAGGAAGAGAGAGAGAGAGAAACATCGACGTGAAAGGGACACATCGAGTGGCTGCCACCCGCACGACCAACCAGGGCCGGGGACAAACTGCAACCGAGGTACGTGCCCTTAGCGGGAACCGAACCCGGGTCTCTCCGGACCGCAGGCCGATGCTCTAACCGCTGAGCCAAACTGGCCAGGGCAATAAAGATAATTTTTAAAAGTGATTTAAGAACGCACGATTGTGTCAGAGGACAGAGTCCTTCCCGCTGACACGTCACCCTCGCCTCCTTCATGGGGGAGTTGTGTCAGGGACACAGGTTGACTGGTGTCTCCTTCCACAGAAGTGGGTGGACGGCGGGCTCACCGACAGCCTTCCCATCCTGCCAGGGGGCCGCACAGTGACCGTCTCCCCCTTCACTGGCCGACTGGACATCTCCCCGCAAGACGACGGGCGGCTGGGTTCCTATGTCCGCGTCGCCAACCAGGACGTACTGGTGAGCCATCATGTTCCCGGGTGTTTGAAGGGCGTTAGGCTCCTAAGATGTCCCACCCACCTCCAAAACGGGGGAAGCTCGCTGATAACGTTTGTACACACGACATCCTTCATTTACGGCACGTGTCTGGCCCTTGTACCTCCAGACGGTGAGTGTGAGGTTGCCTGCAGTTCAGTGATGGTCTGTGCAGAAGCATCTTCTGTTTCTTTCTTTCTTTTTTAATCCTCTCCCGAGGACATTTTTTCATTTTTTGTACAGAGAGAGTAGGAGGGAGAGAGAGGAAGAGAGAGAGAGAGAGAGAGAGAGAGAGAAACATCGACGTGAAAGGGACACATTGAGTGGCCGCCACCCGCACGACCAACCAGGGCCGGGGACAAACTGCAACCGAGGTACGTGCCCTTAGCGGGAACCGAACCCGGGTCTCTCCGGACCGCAGGCCGACGCTCTAACCACTGAGCCAAACCGGCCAGGGCTGTTTCTTTCTTCTTTCTCATGGCAATAGGCTTGGTGGGATTTCAGCGCCATTGTACATGAGACCGTTGATTGCTTTAAAAGGAGCCCGTCATGAAGTCTATAAAACACTGGAGGAAACTTAGGGGCTTTGCTGAATGGCTTACATGAAAGTATCGATGGCTGTCACCCAGTTCTCGCCAGGGCGGCCCCGTACGCAGGAGACCAAGCAGGGTCTGGAGACAGGCTGGCCGTTGGCCTCTGCGGGGTGGAGAACAGGGGTGCTGCTCAGCCCCCCACAGCGCCCATGACAGGACAGCCTGGCCCCAAACACCCACGGGACCAAGGCTGACACACCCTCACCTCATTATGGGTGGCGGTCACTGTTCACGTTGAATTCCCTCCTATTTTTAAGTTTTCATTGCTGATGGTGCCTATGATGTACCTGCATCGACCGGGTCGTCACACCCGCAGCTCCACCTTGTCTTCCTGTCCCAGGTGTCCCCGGGGAACTTGGTGAGGCTGAGCCACGCCCTGTTCCCTCCGAGCCGGAGGGAGATGGAATCCCTGCACCAGCGGGGCTTCGAGGACGCCCTGAGGTTTCTGCGCAGGGAAAACTGGTTCGAGTAGGGAGCGTCCCGGACGCGACGCAGAACACCTGTCCGACAGGGTGGGCTGGAGCCGTCGCGTGAAATCCTTTTTAAAACACTGTCCGAACTCCGTCAGCTGCCTTCGTTCTTGTAATAGTTTTCATTGTTTGTAATATTTAAATTTCTACGTGGGGCAAGAAGTCAGAGGCGTTATTATTGGGAGTTGGCGGCGGCGTTAAGGACGACTCGGGTGCTAAGCTTCAGATCCACCGCCGCAAAGACGGAGGAGCCGTCAGCCACTGTCCGGACGCCAGGTCGGCCTGTTTCGGGGAGTTCTGGTGTACCTCGGAGCGCTTGTGGGTTCCTCCTCACCCGTGGGCACTGTCTCAGGTCTTAAATCTGTCTTTATTGGGCTTGGCCAAGCGTGATCTCTTAATGACTAAGAAGCAGTTACAAACCTTCAACAGTCAAGACACATTCAAAACAATTAAAGTGCAGATCATTATTTCTGTTTTTATATTTATTGATGTTCATCGTACAAAAGGTTCAGATGCGTTGTTCCTGTAGCCGCAGAACCAGTAATGGGAGCTTCGGGGTCTGGGGGTTTCTCTGGCCCAGGCTGTGTCTACACTGCGGCCAAGTGAAGGTGAGGTTGACGTGATGATCCGCGGAACGTGGTGCGGGCGGAGAGGCTGCCCCTGCGGCGCGGGGGGGCGATGACCGTCCCAGCTATCGGTGCTGTTATTGCCAGAGCGATGGGTCACGGGGTGAACGCACCTGGGCTCCCATGCTCGGCTCTGCCCAGCAGGCCGCCCCCGGACCGGATCCAAAGCTTTGCTTACCCCGTGCGAACACGCCCCCTCACGTATTCCTCACACACGTCCCCTGGGGGCGATCCCCTGCTCCTGACCGCCTGCAACACAGGCAGACACGGCCTCAGTCTTTCCCGTGACAGGCAAGGCATTTCCGAGTAAGTGCGCCCACCCACCTCCACATGCGAGCGCGTCGCCTTCATTGGGAAATGGGTGGTTTTCACCTGTGACCACGGGCGAACACACTTAGGCGTACGTGTGTGTGCACCCGCCTGCACCCCTGCAGGGCAGCAGGTCCTGGCCAGGCATCTCCCTGCGCAGAGGTGCACCCTGCCTGCTGCCCAGTGCCAGCATGCTCACACGCCCTCTCAGCGTGTGGACGCGGACGCGCTTTCGTGGGTGGGCCAACTGAAGTACAGAGGGACACACCAGGTGCTCCCTCCTGGGACACTGCACAGTTCCCGCCCATCCGGGACAGCAGGCGCCCTAACTCAGGTTCACCAGCCTCGCCGTGTGACTTCCACACTTATGGTAGGCACAGCCAAAGCTGTGAGGAGACCACCATGGTGATTGTGTGACCCTACACAGGTCCTCCCAGCACAGAGCGCTGGACTCCGTGTGTGTGTGCATACCATCATTAACACATATATGCATATGTATATACTTACCTATCTACATACTATCATCTAGCTCTTCATCTATCCATCCATTCATTCACCCATCATACACCTAAGTATCCCTTCATTATCTATCCATCCATCCATCCATCCATCTATCCATCTATGCATTTTCCTATCTACCCACCTTTTATCTATCGATACCCATCTATCTATCTATCTATCTATCTATCTATCTATCTATCTATTTATCTATCTCTGTCTGTCCGTCCATCCACGTATCTTATCTATCCATCCTTCCATCCTTCTATCTATGCATCTTCCTATCTACCCATCTGTTATCTATTGATATCCATCTATCTATCTGTTGATCGATCGAGCCATCCATCCATCCATCCATCCATCCATGTATCTTATCCATACATCCATCTATGCATCTTCCTATCTACCCATCCATTATCTATCCATCCATCCATCCATCCATCCATCCATCCATCTTATCCATCCATCCATCTATGCATCTTTCTATCTACCCATCCATTATCCATCCATCCATCCATCCATCCATCTCATCCATCCATCCATCTATGCATCTTTCTATCTACCCATCCATTATCCATCCATCCATCCATCCATCCATCCATCCATCCATCCATCCATCTCATCCATCCATCCATCTATGCATCTTCCTATCTACCCATCCATTATCTATCTATCTATCCATCCATCCATCCATCCATCCATCCATCCATCTTATCCATCCATCCATCTATGCATCTTTCTATCTACCCATCCATTATCCATCCATCCATCCATCCATCCATCCATCCATCCATCTCATCCATCCATCCATCTATGCATCTTTCTATCTACCCATCCATTATCCATCCATCCATCCATCCATCCATCCATCCATCTATGCATCTTCCTATCTACCCATCCATTATCCATCCATCTATCCATCCATTATCCATCCATTCATTCATTCATGTATCTTATCCATCCATCCATCTATGCATCTTCCTATCTACCCATCCATTATCTATCTGGCTGTCCGTCCGTCCGTCTGTCCATCTGTCTAACATATAAGTGCTCCTTGCTTTCCTACTTGGTTGTGATGTCTCTTTGTCCATCATTCGATAACTGGATTCTGAAAGTTCAACAACAACCCTCTAAATTAAGTCACTACGCAGACTGCCTAAAGGGAGAAAACAAATCTCTTGTCAGAGACATCAGAGCAAACAACTCTCCGTCTGCATGCTAGATTAATAAAATAGCAACACCCGACTGAGAAGTGTAATGTGTCAATAACGAATTCATTTAAAAAGTCATTCACACGCAAATGACAAGCCTATACCGAGTCATAACGTGAAAAACAAAGGTCACATCAGGAAGAAGACACTGTGCCCGACATTTCTGTCACCCTGCCCATGGTGGTGGGGCCTCTAGAAAACAGGGAAAGAACCATAAATAGATAAAAGCCAAACAGATGGAAAAAACCGCACACCCTTCTCCTCTGAGTGTTGTGCGTAACGCCCTGGACATGTCCCCGCTGCATCCCCTCCGGAGTAGGGGAGATGAACGCGTCAGCACCTGGACACACCAGGTGACACCCCGAAACAAGCACTATGGGAACTGAAGAAGGCTTTTAAAAGTTAATTCAGAAAGTGAACAGTACTTTTACACCAGCAGAGTTTTCATCGTCCGACAATGCGCTCGCGGTAGCAAAAGAATCGTGCGACATCTACAACGTAGGCAAGACACCTCTCCTTTTCCTCAGTGCCCCGATAATGACACGACGTCCCGAACGGGACGACTGCCCTGGGGTGGCCCGGTCCCCTCTAGGAAAGCACCCTGTTTACAGACCTCCAGCATATTGGCAGCATGTTCGTTTTCAAAAACGTGACCAAGAATGGCCGCGTCCACCTGGTGGCATCCACGTGCAGCGAGAGCAGAGAGAGACAAACTCATTTCACCACCCAAGTCTTCTTCATCCTCGTGGGAATGTTCTCGCACTGTCTCTGGGCCGTCGGACTAGGAGGCACCAGAGACGTTCCTGTTTCCGGGACGCTGGGGAAGGGGATCCTTGGTCGGACCGCGCAGGGCCAAAGGTGGCGGTTGCCCTGAAGGAACGCGATCCCCCTGCCCTTCCCTGGAAGCAGACAGCAGGAGGAGTAAGGAATAACCGTCCGGCTGGACGCGTGTGGCACAGCTGGACACAGCTGCCCAAAGGAAGTCGTGAGCTTTCACCTGTCTCCCGAGAAGCTTTTCTGCAGATGCTCAGTAAGGGGGCTGCTGGCGGAGAAAAACCCATCTGTCACCGTATAATTGATCGCAGGGTGTGGGGAGAATTTTATTGCACTTTGTTTGCTTAGGTACGTATGCATATACTTATTTAATGTTATTTTTATTAATTTATTTTTGTTATAGATTTCTCCTTGCCCCCCCCCATAGACACCCTCCTCCCTACCCGCTCCTACCCCGTCCCCAGCTTTGTTGTCTATGTCCATCGGTTACACGTACATGCATGTAAGTCCTGTGGTTTATCCCCCCCTTCTGAGGAATGTCAGTCTGTACCCTACTTCTATGACTCTGGGTCTATTTTGTTCATCAGTCTATGGAAATAGCCCAAGTGTCCATCAGTACTTGAGTGGATAAAAAAGCTGTGATACGCCTTGGCTGGTTTGGTTCAGCAGTTGGAGCATTGGCCTGCAGACCGGAGAGTCCCGGGTTTGGTTCCTGCTAGGGGCACGTACCAAAAAAAAAAAATTTTTTTTTTAAAAGCTGTGGTACATATACACAATGGAGTACTATGCAGCTGTAAAAAAGGAAGATCTCTTATCCGTTGAGACGACACGGAGGAACCTTCAAAGTATTATCCTAAGCGAAACAAGCCAAGCAGAGCAAGACAAGTATCACGTGATCTCACTGATTTAATGCTTTTAGCGGACGTGACAGAAAAGTGCGGGAGAAAGTCCCCATCGGGCTCAGCTGGGCCGTGTGCAGTCTGTGGTCTGCGGCGGGCTGGGGCTGGATCCTGACCGCTCGGGCCGGGAGCTCGAGTGTGCAGTGCCCCCTTCGCGGAGGTCCAAACGGAATGGAAAGAGGTCAATACTGAACGATGTGTGTTATCATCAGCTTTTCCGCAAGAACAACACGGACGTTTGCCCAGGGTGCTGTTAGAGGAATCGCTTCCTCCAGGGACACCGAGGGCTGGCCGCCTCGCTGTGGGCGTTCTCTCCTGTGTTGAATTCGGCAGAGGAGCCGTCGGGGAAGACGGCTGGAGACAACCCAGGAGGTGACCTCGTAGGGACCTCCGGGAGCGCCGATGCGGAGGGACGGGCTCAGGCCACAAACACAACTGTCGAACCGTGAATACAGGCCGACGAGATTCCAGCTTCATAGCTGGCAAAACAGAATGAATGCCCCTCTGATGGACGACGTTTCAGATCCTTTCGTTTCCAGTCGCGGCCCGCGGACCAACGCAGGGGCAGCCCTTGGGTCTGGGAGAAACGCGCACTCCCAGGCCGGACCCTTCCCCACTCGTGACTCTGCCCTGGAACCACATCCCCAGGTGATTCACCGAGCTCGGAGCAGTGCAGCTGCGATGCTGGTTTCCATAGTGACGGGAATAAGACCGTGCTGGAGGAGGGCGATTGTGATAGATTACCCTGGCAACTGGCAGATTCTATACATGGGGTCCCCCCAGATGCTTGGTGTTAAAGGGGTGGAGAGAGGACGGTAACTGGGACTCAGAGGTGCGCATGGGTGTGATTTTTGGTTGGGGACAGTGGGAGAGGCGGAAGGAAAAATTAGACGTGTTTGTCAGCAATGAGGGAGGCACAGTGACTGTAGCAACGGAAGGGAACCCAGGGGTGTCGTGTATTGGTCAACACGGCGTAGTGGCAGCTGGCGTAGTCCGGGTAAGGGTCCCGGTGCCCAACAGGAGGAACTCCTCCCGGGACGCACGGTCTCAGGAGGAGAGAAAAGTGGGCCCCCACAAAGGCATCTGGGGGGCGGAGACAAGCCAACAGGGTGCTGGTGTCCATGTCAGAATGGAAGA